TCATCTTTTTAAGTGGGAGAACTTGCACAATTGTTGACTGACTAAATACTTATTTTCCCCACTGTAAATACATGCATTGGTTTTAATCATGTCAAGAAATTGTTAACATTTTGCCTTTTGTGTTTGGAAAATGTTCCTATGAAATGTCTGTAATATAAGCAACAGTTTGACTCATTAGCAGGAAGCTTACAGTCACAACCTGTTTGTTTATGGTATCATCCTGATGTGTCAGGACTCTTGTTGGATGATTATAGAATGACAAATGTTTTGGGACCCCTAAAGAAGTGTCTAGAAAACGTTAAATGCAGACCCTACTTGGACACAGCTGAGCTGATTCATAACCTTGCTTTCCTTCTAAAATAAATGGTCTAACTTCAAAGAGATGTTTAATCAAGTAAATCCTGCTGGAGATCAGAGATTGTTTATGGAGGTAATAGTGTAAATGTGTCCACGTTCATAAAAATCATTCTGCATTTCATTCCTAAGAGTAGGTTTAATTTAATAAACTGAACGTGGAAAGAACGACCATAAATAGTCGTGGTGCTCTGAGACTCTTTTGAAGGCGGCTGATGAAAACCTAAAGCTCACTGTGGAGAGTATTTATGTACATCTGAACTGAGACGCTGCAGCCTCTGGGAAGTATCTGACGTGTCTTCTTGTTTCTGTCTCTTTCTTTTCGACACGTTGGCCTCAGTTTTTTCAGAGGCCTCAGATGCAGACTGCAAGGCCCACCATCCCAACAAACACTCCCTCCATACGAGCAGGCTCCCAGACTCCCACAGCTGCTGTCTACCCCACGAATCAACCAATTATGATGACCATGGCACCGATGCCTTTTCCTTCCCCGCAGGCTACGCAGTACTACATCCCACAGGTACGACAAACCCAGTTCCAAGTGTTTTCTTCAAAACGGCTGTTCTTCTTTAGGTCTTTTAAAAGTAACACCTTCTTTATGGGATAAATCTTGTGCCAGCAGGAATTAATTTGCTCAGATTGAATCTGTATGTGATTAATTTGAAACTGATGCATTGCCTTGAAAATACATTTCACTAAATTAAAACTGAATTTAATGATTTGAAACTGAATTTAAAGTTTTGTATCTGAATTAATTTGCTTTGAAATTGTATTTTGATTTATTAAAAATTTAGTTTGACTACTTTCAGTTCCATAATTCAGATTTTTGTGTCACATCCTGGTCCTTGAGAAAGCCAGCCAGAGTAATCAAACACAGATCCACAGATTTACGTTTCACTTTGGTGAATTTTCCTTCTGTAACTTCTAACTGTAAATGTAAACAAATATTGCAATTTTGGCCCCCAATCGAACCGAGCCTACCAGACTATCAGGTGTGAATATCTAAGTCCACATCTTAATTATTATTTCAATGATTCGCAGATCACTCGTGCCAATTAAATGTAAAATTAGAGTTGGTTTCTAAAATTATTTTTCAAAGCTCCGTATAAACTTTAGATGTTGATGTCTTGAGTCTGCTTTTATTTATTTATTTATTTATTTATTTATTTATTTATTTATTTATTTATTTATTTATTTATTATGTCAAGAACTTTCTGTAAAAGTGTGTTCCATTATTCGTCAGGTTTTTTGGATTGCCAGATTTAGCAAGAATATTATAAATTTTGCGCGCACATGAAGTTTTGTAAAATATACCTTGTTAAGAGAAATTGCCTGAGTCTTTTCCCAGTGTGAGTAGCAGAAGATTTGCTGTCAGTGCCTTGTGGGCTACAAGAAACTCACAAAATTGGATTTATGTCAAGTAACTAATAAGCCCTCTCAGGAGATAAGCCTGTTGGTTACAGACATACTGTATGAAACAATAGCACTGCACTGTGTACTACAGGCTCTATTTTTTAAAAAAGCAAGGCTTTTTTTAATAATGTAGCTGGGGATTGACTTCCGTTTTTTTGCAACAAGTTCACTTAGCAGGACTCCAAATGAAAGGTACTAATCTATCCTTTGTCCTGTATTTGACACAAGTTATTCTCAGTTTTTATTAGTGACACACTGACCAATAAATTTATGTTAATAAAGTGGGAAAAAGTGATCTTAACCACTGCAGCCTCAACCAAAAGTCTTATTTTATTTTATTTTTTATTGGAAAGGCACTAAAAAACAATTTTGTTGATATAGTGGAGGTTTTTTTTCCTGTTATACAAAAATAATCATTTCTCAAACAAAATGTAAAATATGCTGATGTGTTCCCTCTGTATGTTTGTACCCTTTTTGTGACACCTTTCCATATTTACAGTATCGCCCCAGTACACCCTTCGTAGGACCCCCGCAGCAGTATTCTGTACAGCCACCGGGCTCTGGCACCTTCTATCCTGGTCCGGGACCAGGGGAGTACCCCGCCCCGTATCGTGAGTCCTTTCTCTTTTCCCACCCCCTAGAWTCCGTTTAGTTTCCACCACACAGAAGTAGAAATACACACTATCTGATTATCTCATGAGTCATCTGTGCTCTTTTTACTAAAATGTCTCTTCTTTTTTTGTTCTTTTTTTTTCTAAATTCATTCAGATCCCCTTAGGTACCACCCTTCTGTCTCACCCACTGTTCCTGCTCCCGTTCCCACAGCTGGTCCACCCTTCTTCCCAGGACAGACACTGTACCCCCCCTCAACCCCTATCATAGTGCCTACACAACATTCAATCAAGCGTGAGAAGAAAACAGTGAGTATATTTGACACATTAATGCTGGCAGCATCTAATAATGTCTTTATTTAAAAAAAAAGATGTTGTTGACTTTTTTTCAGTTCAGTAGAATTTTAAGAGCTTTTGTTTAATTTACATGCCATAATCTTTATCAGCAATTAGTTCCAGCTTAGAAAATCCCTTTGAGAAAATGATATATTTATTAATTTCAGAGCAAATTCAATGTGTCACAATGAGGACACACCAGATAAGTATTTCTGCGATGGATCTACTCACATCAGTATATTTCTGCACCTCTAAAATATTATTAATCTTGTTTTTTATGATGTTTAAGACTCGTCGCATTAGACAAAAATCCTGATCCAGGTCACTTTATGACTGTAGTGGGTTTTATTTGCTTTTTTAATGCAATTTTTCCCCCCCAGATCCGTATTTGTGACCCCAATCAGGGTGGCAAGGATATAACTGATGAGATCTTGGCGGGAGTCTCAGGAAGCAGGAATTCGACGCCTCCCGTCGGCCCCCCCTCCTCCACTCCTACCCCACCACAGGTACAGCTCCCCAGCCTGCTAGCCGAATTCTCCCCCAACAGCACAGCGGTGTGGAAATAGCCGTCTCATGTTGCCTAATCTCAGTGTGAGCTCTCTGCTCGGGTGTTTTCTCTGCCACCGTGTGTGAGGTCAGCAGGGCAGCGAAGCATGACCTTGCAATTTTAATTTATTTGGATTTTTGAAGTCAAAAGGAATGTCTGATTGCTTTCAAAGCAAACACCTCTGGGTAAAGAATAAAGCTAATTATTCAAGATGTGCTTTTAAAAAATTGAATTGTTAGATTTTTTTTATCCTATAAGTACAACAAAATACATTTTATTGAGTTAAAGGTAATAAAGTGTAACATGGATGACTATAATCTTACCATCATCGTGTTTGAGGTGGTGCAAAAGTTCGTTTAAAATACTTTACAATTTAAGTCTTGTTCATTCTTTGTTATCTTGTTTATATTTTAATTTTACACCTTCTGTCATTGTTTTTACATTGTCTCCTCTACAAAAGATTTCTTACGTTCTGTCTGTAAACTTCTAATCTTTCTGCAGAATCCAAGTTGGTTTCCCGATTTTCCTGAAGCAGTTCAGTCTGTTCTTGCAAAAAAAAAAATTAATTGGTTTGGCATAGTCCTTGGACTAACTTTGGAAATGAACCATCCTGGCCCTCAAACAAATGAGACAAACCACTTAACAATTGGATAATTTGTTTTAGATTCTGAAGAAAAGCATCTGTGACTTTTTTTCCCCTCTCTGTGTCCTTCTGTGGGTGTTAACTGTCTTTTTCTTGTTTTTTATCTGTTCTTTTGATCCCCTTTATTTTTATCTTTCTTTGTTCACCCACCTTTCTCTGTCCTTTAAATTGTCCCGAGCTTTCATCCTCCTCCTGCTCCAATCCACATCGTCTTTTCCTGCTTTTCTTGTATTATTGAACACTATTGTCTTGTTAATGTAACCATACCTCGTTGGACTTTTTTTTTTTTGCTTGATCCTGCACTTGGCTTGTTTGTGCGCTTGCTTGCCTACATCCTTTCACCTCTCTTTCTTGTTTTGTGTGTTGCTAGTTTTTATGGCCACACCCTCATTATCCTCACATTTTCTACCTCAAATGTCAGCAGCTGAGCAGCAGCCAGAGTCCGGAGCAGCAGCAGCAGCAGCAGCAGCAGCAGCCATCACAGGCTCCAGCTCCTTCGCAGCAGCAAACTCATCCTGGCGGCCTCCTGTTGGAGCCACCACAGACACCGCAGCCCCTGCAGCTGCTAACAACTGGGGCTTCAGACACCAAACCAGGGCCAGGTCTGCCATAAAAACCACTTTCTTTTCTTAGTTATGATTTTCAAGTTCTTATAAGTAGGAATGCACTTTGGAGACATCCTGAATCCAAATTTATTTATTTTGGCCACAAGCAGCGTACTTCTACGGTTGTATGGAAAACGGGGATTGCCCAGTCTGCCCCTACTCAATAAAATTTAAAGGGCCAATATAATGKGTTTCTCAGGCAAATARTTCAATTTTATACCAAAAYCAAGTAACTATGAGTTCAGTTGTTATTAAAATGAGGTTTATACTGTATGTATTAATCAAAAATAAACTTGACTTCACATCAAAGCTGTTTACAAACACCTTGAAATTGGCCTCTGTCTCTTTAAGAACCTCCTACCAATCCTGTCAGGCTTATTTCATAACATCACAACAGTTTCATTCCGTTTACAACCTGGAGTGACATAGCTTATTTTGTTGTAATAATAATGAAAAAATATCAACATTATACAAAATCAGTTTTGGTAAATTGCAACTCGGGATAAAACTGAACCTTACAGTGGGACGGGAACAATTACWGAGACACACACATGACYCTCTATCCTTGTGGGGACTTGCCTTTGACTTCCATTCATTTTTTTGAACTTTTATATCCTAACCATGACCAATTGCCCTTAAATTAACCTCACAGTTCCTGACCCTAAAACTAACCTAAACTCAATTCACACCTTGGACCTGGACTGAGAAATAGTTAGTATTACGAGCTCAGCAGGTATTTGGTTGCAAATTGTTGCTACCGATAGCCTGTAGGAGTAGAGGGGGAGGTGTGCTCTGTGATGAGGAAGCTCAGTTTGGAGACACAGCCCAGAGGAGGAGCTGCRCCTAAAAGGCGGTTCTAGGGCCAACCGGTTGTTTTTGCTCCCCTRTCTGTCTGCCTCAGGACACTACAGGATTTCACAAACATGCATGAATGAGTCAAAGCAAGACTTTGTTCATGTTTTTGATAAGGGGATAACATTAAAACATGATATAAAGCTCAAAAAGTGGATTTTACATGATATTGCCCCTTTAAATAAAAAAAGACAGCTGCAAGAGTACATCACCAATTGTTGGTTGTTGGACTTGAGAATAGCTGATCAAAAATTAAAAGCATATAACCTATATTTAATGTACAGCTTCAAGAAATTAAAATTAGGCTGGTTTCACAGATTATTTTTATYCACACAGTAAATACTCAAAATTACAGGTTTCATTTCTTACCTGACATGAACCAAACATTGATTTCCATTTCACATAAAATCAAGAGTTTAGTCTGGAAATGTTTTTTAGTGTCACTGTTTTTWAGCTGTCCTTTTAAAGCTTGTTCTGTATGATGCAAGTCTTAGTTGGACTTTCTGAATTTTGAAACCATCTGTTTCCATCTTCCTSTCTCCAGTTGATATGCCAAAATTGGAGCAAGTTGTTCCTAAGTCTTCCTCTCCTGGGCTCGTGCAGCCTGAAGCTCCTTTGGAGAGACTGGAGGCCAGTGTTCCTGTATCTGAGCCGCCTGCCACTGCTGAGCCAGAGCTTCCCTTCCTCACTCCTCTGACCGCCGCCGTCACTCCACCACACACAGTGGCCAACGTCAGTGAACGCTCCTCAGCCAAGGAGTCCGCTGCCTCCTCCTTCTCCTCCTCCTCCCCCTCCGTCGGGGAGATCAAACCGTCTCTGGTAACACCTCAGATGCCCAGCACAGACAGGCCTCTCACAGATTCACCACGATCGTTAGCTGCTTCTCCGTCRCCTGCTCTCAAGGCTTTGAATGGCCTCGCAGACTCTGGAACTGAGCTCGACGCCGTTGCTCACGAGCCCTCTCTCCCGCCTCCGGCTGCGCTCCATCCTCAGGTGTCCGCTCCCGCTTACAGAGACGCCTCCCYATCTGAAACTTTGCCTTCCGACATGAGGCCAGAAGTACCGATTGCTGCTGCGCTGTCTCCTCTGTCGCCTGTAGCTGTGGTGCCATTCACCCTCACCTCTAGCCCCATTCCAGTTTTGCCAGTTACGCTCCCCCCTGGCCTTCCGCCTCTAGTGCAGGCCACAGCAGAGGTCGATGAGATGAGTAAAACCTTAGACACTAAAGACCTTCTCACCAGAGGTGGGGCAGAGGCCCAAAGTGGCACCAGTGAGAGCAAGAGYGACTCCCAGCAACAGGCACTTACCAGGAAGAGTCCCACTACAGGTAATGYGTCTGATGCTCTTGACTTCTTGTCCAAAGGAACTCCTAAATACTAGAGGTGCAACAATACATGTACCCGTATCGAACCATTCAATACACACTTGTGTATCGAACAATAAAGATTTTTCACATTTATTTTATCAACTTGTCTTCTGAAGATGCTCTGTGTTGAAGGATCAGTGGATCTGTGTTCGACTACTCCACCCAGGCTGCATTGTCGAGCTCAGATTCACTGAGAAACTTGCTGTTTCAGCAACATTTAATTTAAAAACTGTGCTTTTGAGGTTAAACAAATGTTCAGAATTAATTTAAATAAATTAAAAGTTWAAAAGGGCATGGAAATTTCTCTTTTTTTGTATCGAAAAAATATCGAACCGTGAGACTAAAGTATCGAACCGAACCAAATCGTGAATTTTCTGTATTGTTGCACCCCTAATGAATACATGTATTATTTTTTATGAAGTTACACCATAATAATGAAAGGCAATGCCTCAATACCTGTATATTAGGGTGGTTTGTGCACATCTTCACATGGGTCACTTTGCAGATAATTCCTYGTTATTTATAATCTATGATGGTTTGATTGTTAGCCGACTGGCTAATTGTACCTCCCTGCTATTTCTGTTTCCTTGTAGTTAATCAAACTTCTTCCACTGTACCAAAGACCTGGAGAAAACCAAATGAAGTGATCTTTGCTGGAGAGGCACCTCTAAAGGAGGACGAGGTCAGGAAAAAAAAGGTTTTGTTTTATGATTCACGCTGAAGTTTTGGTTTAAATTTAAGTGGTAAAGATAAAGATCCCTTCAAATTGTGTTTATTTGCCTGTTAGTGTAAAAGCTTGTAGGCTCTTGATGTGTAAACAAATGGTTTGTGTTTTGTTTTGTAGCAAAGCACAGTGTCAGAACAGGGACAGTGAACGGGGTAGAATGGGGGGAAAAAGAACAATGTGGGAAACATTTCAAGTGGAAAGTGCTTCCATATGTGTGGAGAGGAAGGCAAACATGAATGACTCTTGGTCGCTGTTATCGTTTGAGAAAAGCAGCAAGAGGTTATCCATCATCTTCGATGGTCTCCCTGTATGTAAAATAGCCTGTACGCGCTTTTGTTTTCGCTTCTTTATCTGTTGCTGAAGGCTTGTTGTTGTAGCCGGGTTTTCACATCACTTAACACAGGCGAGCAAACAAATGACTTCAAACAGCTTAATTCTCTTTTTGAGCTTGCTTTGTAAAGATTGGAAAGTTGAATCTAAAATATACACATTTATTCTCAGAGTATTGACTTATAGACTTATATTATTTTGACTTATCTTATTGACTTAAATTACTGATAGAAATGGAAACAAGAGAAACTAGAGGAAAAGAATTTGAGGCGTACTTTCCAGTTTTGTTTTTACAGAAAGTGTCATTTCACAGCACTTAAAGAAAATAAAACTGCTGACCAATTCTTTAGGGAGAGTTTTAAATTTTAGATGGTTTGAAGTTTTATAAAGAACTCTTATAAAACATTCTGACACCTTCAGGAGCTTTTTCTGTGAGAAACAATCTTTAAACACCTTTTTGAGCTTCGGTCAGAACAAGATGTTCCGGAGCCGCTCACAGTGGCTGAGCAGGAAACATCTTTCCACATTAGCTTGACTGCAGACCAGATCAGAAGGTGTGTGTGTGTGTTCTATAAACATGGCGTGAACACACGGTCCAGTAAAAAGAAAATCTCAGTCATTCATATTTTCTGCTGAAATCCTGACTCATCTTTGGTGATCATGGGATTACGGTCTGTCTTGCTCTCTGGTGGCTGAAAAATCCAGTCCTGCATTTGCATTCACTGCTGCAGACATTGTACTTGTACACAGTAAAGTGTAATGTCTGAGTGGCTGAGTGTAAATGTTGACTCAGCATTTATGCACTTTGCTTCTACAAGCTTATTGTRCAGTTTTATAGAAACTTTTCTTGATTTAAACCCCACACACCCCATTTTATTCCCCCTTTTTATACMTTTACAGTGCGGTCAGAGGGAGCAGCAGTATTATCCTGTCAGTGTTTTTCTGATRAATCAATCCTCCACACAGGATGAGCCCAGGGTTGTAGATCAGCCTGTTGGAGACCCAGCTCTTCAGTCAGCTCCTCTAAGCTGCAGCCCCGCACCCCTACCGTCGGCCTTCCCCTCGGCCGCCGCTCCCAGCCCCGCTCCCGCAAGCAGCCCGCAGGCCGACGGAAAGCCCGCCGCGCCCGAGGAAAACGGCGACGCCGAGCTGGAGCCCATGAGGAACGGAGCGGGACACATCTCGGARACGGAGAGCAGCGACAGTGGAGCCACTCCTGGAGACAAGGAGAACTCGATGGGAGCGTCGCAGGACATGGAAGGTTAGAAGTACCAGAGATTGGTTTTATTTTCTGAGGGGATGGTTGACTGTTTTTTTAACACTTCAACACTTCTGCCTTTAACATTTATTGTTTTTTTTTTTTAAATCTCCTGCGCTGTACATTGATCCAGACCTGGCTGATCCCAGTGGGAAGCGACAGTATGGCAGAGAATTCCTGTTAGGCTTCCAGTTCATGCCTGCATGCGTTCAAAAACCTGAAGGCCTCCCACCGATCAGCGACGTGGTGCTGGACAAGGTACGTCCTGCTGTATTGATTTAGACTGAAAGATTATATTCACCTTAACAGCTCTGACAGCCAGTTCATCCAAAGGTAAACTCTGCTGAACGATATATTTGCAATCAGGTYTCTTAGCAGATAACTGACTCCTTTGATTGATATATTGAAATGGAAATTGCAAATACATTTTTTTATGTTACACAGGCAGGGTTCCTGCAGATCATTAAAAAGTCTTAAAAGGCACTGAATTCATCAAGCCAAAAATAAGGCCTTAATTAGCCTTAAAATGTCTCAAATTAATCTTTCAGAAGTCTTAAAAATGTCTCAACATTGTAAATAAGATGATTGTAATTCATCTCAAATATTAAAATAATTGGTAAAAATATATATATTTTTAAATATTCACATGCAGACATTACCCTTTGACACCACTTCATGTTATTTACCATGCAAGTATCTCAATTGTTTATCTGAGCAATGTGAAATTTGTTTTGTAATATGTTAATGTTGTCTTTCCAAAAATATATTCACTTTTCTTACAAAAAATTGATGTCACAGTCRCTTTAAGGTTTCATCTACAGCAAATTGGGGTTAAGACCCCACTGTGGGTCTTAAAACTCCAAATTGTGGGTCGTTAGAGGATTTCCTGAAATTAAATTAAGTTTAAAACTGACTGCTAAGAATGTTTCTTCTATAGTTAGGTATGAATAAAACAATTGGTATATTAGCAATATTTGAATAATTCAATCAAAAATACTTTGATTCATGAGTTTTTGCCACAGTCTAAAATTTTTAAATTTGTGTTTATTGTGAAATTGGTCTTAAATTTGATTAAGTTTAAAACTGACCGCTAAGAACGTTTCTGCTATAATTAGGTATGAATAAAACAATTGGTATATTAGCAATATTTGATTAATTCAATCAAAAATACTTTGATTCATGAGTTTTTGCCAGTTTTTCCTTTTTTTTGTCATTTGCGTTTATTATGAAATTGATCTTAAATTTAATTTAACTTGGCATTAAAAAGTCTTAAATTTAACTTGCTTTAAACTGTAGGAACCCTGCCAGGGCTTCAACTACTTCTGACTAATTTAGACTCTTCTCTGACTTGATGAGATCTTTCTTTATAAAGTCCTTTCCAATCAGTTTGTGTATTTGAGTGAGAACTACTAAATATTTTTTGCTATTTACACAAACACTCATAATCCCTGAAATATTTTAATAATCATCAGATTTGTTGCAGTCATTTTAGCTGCACAGTTGGTCATTTTGGCTGCAGTAGTGTTTGAAAGCGTCTGCCACGGATAAATTCCTGTTTGGATCAGAGCACCAGCCACTGTGCTTCTATAAATTCAGATGAGTAAATGTTTAAATCCATATAAAGCAGTGTATTGTTGTTTTAGTAGATGAAATGTGAGTCTTTGAATTAGATTTAAGGTCACCGCTTGGGCCAAAACAGTGTGTTAAAACCCTTGTTGGGTCGACTGGAGCATAGTTGCAGCAGTTTTTGGTTTGTTCTTCGGATCCACATCAGGCCTGCTGAAACGCTGTTTTGATTAAAATCACTTTGCTATTATGTCATCGTTGGCAGCGTTCAAAGTGCACGCCCCTCCTCCACCCCTTCAAAAAGAATAGCCAGACTGGTGAGCAGCAGTCCCGTCGGGTCTCAGAGTTTCGTTTTCTCCGTGGGAGAAAGTGAAACTTCTTCAGATAAAGAAAATGAGAGGAAGTCTCGGACAGCCGAACAACAAAGAGCTGGATTTGTTCTCCCCTCCTCCCCCACAACTATCTCACACTCTCCTGCGTTTCCTTTCCTCTGTTCTTCCCCTCCACTATCTCCTCTCTGAAGGGCCTTCCAAACAACCCGAGTGTGATTTAACATCAGTTCAGTAAGCACTCGTAAACCAAAAGATGATAATGTAGTGTTCCTGTCATTTCCAGCAGGTCACCTTTAGAGCACCACTGGGTTTGAAATTCACACATCCTCTCACTCTTCATGCTGACTTTGTTTGGCCTTAGTGTAAGAGGATCACTGCTCCCCCTGCTGTTCGGTTTTGTCTGAATGATGAGGAGGTTTTTTTTTTTTTGTGTGTGTATGTGTGTGTGTCGTACAGATGAACCAAAACAAGTTGCCGTCTCGAATGGTAGACTCGAGGGTGATTTCCACTGGACCCGATTTCACACCTGCTTTTGCAGATTTTGGAAGGACCGGAGGACGATGCACTGCAGTGAGTCATGCACTCTAATAAAAAGCCATTCATAATGTAAACAGTCCAGAAACATGGTGTATGCTTGTCCACTGTAAATAAGATACTAATAGTAAATCATACTATAAAACTACAAGCTAAATTTGTCTTCCTGCTTTGTTTTGACGTGTCGTCTCAGTATCACTTTGTACTTGTTTGACAAAATAGTCTTTTTTTCTTTTTTTTTTCTTAACTTAACAGCCCATGAACATTGTACCATGGCGACCTCCACCCAAGAAGATCATCATTAACATGTCCGTTAACGATGACATTCAGCTGAACAAAGCAGAGAATGCCTGGAAACCCGGCATGAAGAGGGAGGGCCAGTCAGAGGAAACGGAGGTGCAGAAAACACAGGCAAGGACAAAGGAAACACAGATAATTAGCTAAATATTATAATTAGACTTTTACAGATGACCGTAGATTCAGAATAACCTTTCACAAAGCATGGGACTGATGAAAACAGCATTTAACTCAGTACTCTTGGTACTCCGCTACAGGAGCTCTTTAGACAGGTACGAAGCATACTGAATAAGTTGACGCCTCAGAAGTTCAACCAGCTGATGAAGCGGGTGACGGATCTCACCATCGACACAGAGGAGAGGCTCAAAGGGGTCATCGACCTGGTGTTTGAAAAGGCCATCGATGAGCCCGGCTTCTCTGTGGCTTATGGAAACATGTGTCGCTGCCTTGCCACGGTAAAATCAGCCGTTGTCAAAGCTTAGTGGTCAAGACATAGCTATACTTTTGGTGGTTTAAATGTTTTTTTTTTGTAGTCCTTGTTGTGTCAGACATTCATAGTCATCCACGGAATGAAGTAAAGAAAGAGGAAAAACTTCATTTAATTAACTTTTTTCTTCTTATATCTGCTGTTTGATTCCAGCTCAAAGTGCAGATGACGGACAAACCCAACTCCACGGTTAATTTCCGGAAGCTGCTGCTAAATCGCTGCCAGAAGGAGTTTGAGAAAGACAAGGTGGACGACGTGGTGTTTGAGAGGAAGCAGAAGGAGCTGGACTCTGCTGCATCGGTTTGTAGTCTCCCTGTCGGTTCTCGTGTTTGAGTCTGCTCTTGTGTTGCTGCCTTTTTTATGGCAGAAAGAAAAGAAACGTGTAACTTYCGGGGCAAAATCTATGTTCGATATTTCCTCTGTGACTTCAGGCGACAGAGCGTGAGCGTCTGCAGGGAGAGCTRGAGGAGGCCAAGGACAAAGCCAGGCGGCGTTCCATCGGCAACATAAAGTTCATCGGCGAGCTTTTTAAGCTGAGGATGTTGACTGAGGCCATCATGCAYGACTGTGTGGTGAAGCTGCTGAAGAACCACGACGAAGAGTCCTTGGAGTGCCTGTGCAGACTGCTCACCACCATCGGGAAAGACCTGGACTTTGAGAAGGCCAAGGTGAGACGCAGACGGAAGTATGGGTGGAGTGGTTCACAAAAAAWTGTTCCTCATGTTGCCATCTGATATCCGGACACAGGGTACCTGCGGATCCTTAAAAAGCCTTAAAAGGCCTTGAATTCATCAATCCAAAAATAAGGCCTTAATTAGCCTTAAAAGGTCTTAAATCAATCTTCAGGTCTTAAAAATGTCTTAACATTGTAAATAGGTTGACTGTAATTCATATCAAATATTAAAATAATTGGTTACATTTGTTTATTTTAGAAATATTCCCATTCATACGTTCCCTTTTGACATCACTTCCTGTTATTTCACATGCAAATATCTCAACAACTGTCCATCTGAGCAATGTGAAATTCATTTTGTAATATGTTGATAATGTTGTCTTTCCAAAAATACATTCATATTTCTTAGAAAAATTTGATGTCACGTAGGTTTCATCTACAGCAAGCTGGGGTTGAAAACCCACTGTGTGTCATAAAACTCCAAATTTTGGGTCGTTAGAGGATTTCCAGAAATTAAATTAAGTTTAAAACCAACTGCTAAGAATGTTTTTTTGCTATATTTGACAAAATAGCAGTTACAGATGGATAAAAACAATTTGTCAATTAGCAATATTTGAAAAATTCAACCAAAAATACTTTCATTCATGAGTTTCTGCCACAGTTTTATTTATTTATTTTTGTCATTTGTGTTTATTGGGAAATTGGTCTTAAATTGCACTTCACTTGGCATTAAAAAGTCTTAAAAAGTCTTAAATTTAACTTGCATGTACGAACCCTGGGACAAACCACAACAGGTGAACCCAACAGTTGGGACTTTTTTTTTTTCCCCATAAATCATTCCATCCCTAGAAGGATGTCAGTGAGACATGAAAACATGAGCAAGTAGTGTTTGTGCTTAACATAATTGGAAGTTTTAAGCAGTTATTTGTGAGTGGTCTGTGCAGAAAATCATAAATATTTCTCCAGTCAACAGAACAAATATGATTTGTGGCTCTTTGCATCTGTTTGTGTCCACTTCAGTTTGTTCAGATTTACAGCTGCACCGTCCTGCAGACATCAGTGACTCTTAACTGTACTCAGCCTCTGATGTTTGGACGGTCCACTGCATTGTGTTTGGTTGATTTTTATCATTAACCAAGAAAAAGTGGGGAAAAAAGATTTTGGGCAGCAGGAACTCATTGTAGTAAATTTGARTTCATTCTTCTCTGTTAGATTGTTTTATTCTGTTTTATTTTGAACTTTAGAACAGCACTTTTTCTAATTAAAAAACTGAACTATCTGATGTTGAGTAACGTTGTTATTTTTTTGTTCATCAGCCTCGCATGGATCAATATTTCAATCAAATGGAAAAAATCGTCAAAGAGAGGAAGACGTCATCCAGGATACGGTTTATGCTACAAGAYGTTATAGACTTGAGATTGGTGAGTGAGCGTTTTAATACCGTTTTTATTTTCACAGACGTAGAATCCAAAGTTCGTTYACGCAAGTTTAGTTTTCCCACAGAGGCTTGTTTCAATGTTTTACTTATTCTTTTTTTTCTGGAACATGATATTAAGTGGTTTATAGTCTGTTAATCTGAAATCTACTGCGACCCCAGGTGTTGAACTTATATATTGTTTGAAAGATTAGTTGATCCTCTCTTACYGTTTAAAATGTGATTTTGTTGAAGCATCCCTGCTCTAAATATTTGTCACCCAGAAGTTAAATGGAAAAGATAAACTTCAAAAGACAAATGATTACAGATAATTTTGTCATGTAAAAGTTTTTTTGAGGAGGGGTTTTAGAAATTAAAGGAAAAATACAACTTGATTGTTTCACCTAAACATTTTGGCCAAATAACGCTTCTGTTCAAAAGAATGAGCCAGCACAGACGAGCTACGTCGTCGGGTCAGGACTCTGCACTTTACACTCATCTACAGGCCAGGACTCTGCAGTTAACACTCATCTACAGGCCAGCGGTCACTCTTTCAGGGATGAAGATGTTCTCATCCTTGATAGAGAGGAACGTTGGTTTGAGAGAGGAGTAAAGGAAGCCATCTTTGTGAAGAAAAACCGCCCACCATTAAACAGAGGTGGAGGCCTTCGTGTCCAGTTGTCCTCCTCCTACAATGCTGTTATTGCAAGTATGACTCTGCCCCCTGTGAGCAAAAGGTGTGAATCAGGGCCCCAACGATAACCAACACAAAGAGGGAAAGAGACAAAAACAAGGGGACATCGAACCCCGCTTGCACTCACTACATGCACATAAAAAAACACCAAATAATCACAGCCGAAACATTTAAACCAATAAGTCAGGTGATGGGGCACATGACCCTCTATGAACAATAGAGCTAATCAAGCCTATTGTTAGGCGATGGCCCTCTTTTGCATGTGACTTACCTGTTTGTCCACCATGTGGAGGCAGAGCTTATAAGACTGAGTTCACCTGAAACTCATCAGTCTYTTGGAGGAGAGACGAAACGTTTCACTAAAGAAGAACCCATCCAGAGGACCTACTGATTTTTTTTCTTTTTGAACGCTTCTGTACAAATTTTAATCAGTTAATCAAAAATGTTACTGTATTTGAGATTCACACTCAGACTGTTTTTCCCTAATTCAGGGTGTATTCACAACTGACATATTTGGTTCACTTATGGACCAGCGTTCATTTCCCCCGTTGGTCCGGACATTTATGCAGATGTGAATACACTCATTCGAACCCTGGTCAAACAACCGGACCAAGACCCATCTTTGAGGTGGTCTCGGTCCACTTCCTAACGAACTCTGATGTGGTTCACGTCTGGTGTGAATACAGACTGGCCTCGTACTGAACCAACTACAGGAAACATGCGCTTCTTTGGACTTCACGAGCCACCATAGCTAAGCAACATTAGCCCTTCAGTGCTGCTAACACTAACACTGAGCTACAAACAATGAGCTGTTGTGGGTCATCTTTTCTCCTTTACCCCTAATATACACTAGATGAGGTTCTGCTCTTCTGCGGTTTACAGTTCACTGCCATTCATTTGCGCCCCAATTTATACAGCGTCCGCTCCGCTGCGAAACCCAGAGGAGGTCTGAGCAGTGTGGGCAGGAAATGCGTGATCGCTCGATAAATCCAGTGATAATGTGGAAGTCAGAACAAAAGAATATATTCTGTGGTAGACRGACTCCAAACACAACTGAAACTTGCAATGCTATCGTCTTTTTGAAACTTCTGATTTCAAAATAAAATCCACAAGTATCGTGTGTGTGTGTAGGGCTGCCATGATTAGTCGACGACTAATCGACTATTAAAATAGTCAACGACTAATTTAATAGACGATTAGTCGTTTTTGTTTTTTACTTTGTTTTTCTCTCCAAACTGCTTTGACACCTTCCACTGCCGCATCGGTCTTTCTGTCCTTGACACACATGCACAGTAGTGGTAACTGGGGTAGGCCGTGGACGTCACAAGACATTATACAGACATACAGTCATGGCTACCCACCAAAGGAGCTCAAAAGTGTGGGATCATTTTAAGAAAATGAAAGAGAAACCTGTTCAGTGCAATATATGCAAGGCAGAACTTGCCTTCCATGGCAGTTATTTTTAGTTAGCATATAGCTAAAATCTAACAATGGTTAGCAGTTGCATTCTGGCGCGATAAGCTGTATGTTTTATATTCAATTGACGTATGATCCGATTAGTCGACTAATCAAAAAGTAATAATTGATTAGTCGACTATAAAAATAATCGTTTGTGGCACCCAATGTCATGTTTATATGTGTGTCCACATCTTCTGCACGCTACATRTTGCCATCTGCTTCCCAAACAGAACAATAAATTTTGACAGTATTTGTGTATAAATCCATATATTTAATATGATAGCTGGGATTTCAACGCTGTTAGTCTGGCTTTGGTGAATTACTTTGAAAATATGGATGTTGTGATTGTTCCTTTTCCTGTTGGTGCAACATAWTCTTTGTAGATTGACTCCAGTGCAGCTCCRGTRGCTGGCAAAAACTGGATCGAATCTAATTTTGGCGGATCACCGTCTGTAAATCGCCAGTGTAAATTCTCTCATTGACTATAATGGTTGTGTATTTACTGTGGAGGTCGGAATGGAGCAGAACCACATTTAGTGTACATTAGGGGTTAGGCTGTGGCACACATTTGACAAGGCTGTCCCAAAACTTTAAGTATATCATCGTGAAATCACCACTGACTGAGCTGCTCTTGGTATTTATAGTCAGTTGTATTAACTCCATCTTTATTTCCAGGTCTGTTCTGCCCCCATCATTTCTGTCCAATGGGAGTAATGACCGTCACCTGCGTGTCTTTGTTTATAAATTATAGTCCACTTGCAAAAAACACAATGTGAATGCAAACCACACTAAAGGAAAACAAAGTCTGCTATTTGGTCCAGATCAAACAAGTGGACCGAAAGACTTTCCTGGYGTGAATACACTCTTAATTTAAAAGGTAGACACCACCGCTTGTACACAAAAATGCTTCTTTATGAAGCAAACAAATCTGTCTGTTCCGTTCATTTGTTTATGAGGCAGCGCTGTTTTTTTCCCCCTAGTATTTAGCTTTTAATAATGAGCTGAAACAGAACAACATATCAGTGAGAAAAATTCTAATTTAAAATGTTTTATTATAAACAAATGCAATTCTGCAACATATCACTGTATTATTCAACACATCCATAAAACACTGTTAGATAAATGTGATCCAGAGCAAAGACAATTTAAAATATGTTTAAATCCATWATATTTATCAAAGGGCCTTATTCTGTGAACCTTACACTTCCTTAAAATGCTTTTTTGCCTCTCACAAGAGTAGTGAGTTTAAGATTCAGCTGAATTTGATATTGTTTAARCATCACATCCTGTGTGACTTATACTCTAACTTAAATAATAATCTAACAAAAGAAAAACTAGTTTGGCTCTGAGCTCAGACTTTGTTCTTGGGGTTATTTAATTTAAATAGTTGCCTGATCCGTTTTATAAAGTAAGTGTTACCGTTTTGTTTTCCTCAGCACAACTGGGTGTCCAGGAGAGCTGACCAGGGCCCTAAAACCATTGAGCAGATCCATAAGGAGGCTAAGATTGAGGAGCAGGAGGAGCAGAGAAAGGTGCACCAGCAGCTGCTCTCCAAGGACAGCAAGAGACGGCCAGGTCAGTCCCGCAGTTTAAATCCTCTTTAAAGCTTAGCATCACACCGGTGCAGCTACAGCAAWTCAGGAACCCTGCAAGCCTACATGCAGACGTCCTGTCCATGCAGCACGCAGAGATGCTGTTGTGCTCAGCAGCAGACAGGAAGCCCCCTACTTCCCCCCCATCTGTCAGCTGACCTATAATATTTTGTYACGTATAACTGTGGAGAAATGTCTCCCTGTCAGTTAAAAGACTGAAATACCTCTGAATTTTCACTGAACTGATGTCAAATGGCCCAATTTTTTTTTTTCTTTTGAAAAACGCTTTTTAAACGATGCTTTTAATTTGTTTGCCGCAGATCCACGAGAGCAGAGGGATCAGCGCATGCAGAGAGAGGAAACCTGGAACACCGTGCCCATGACGAAGAACAGCCGGACCATCGACCCCAACAAGATCCCAAAGATCTCCAAGGTGAGTGGAGCTGCCGCGGTGGGCCGTGAGCGTGGATGAGTTYCAGCCTTCAGCTGCAGGTGGGGTCAGGAAAAGACTGCTTCCGCTGCACCCAACTGCTGATTATCCTAACAAATCCAACCTAACACATTGGATTAGTTCATGAAGCCTGGACGATGTATATGTTGCAGCTCTGAAATACAGTATATCTGCAGCATTTTAAAAATATATTTATATAAAAATCATAATATAATTATAAAAACGTTTTGAACAAATTCTTTATTTACTGATTCTCCCCATTGTCTGAGTTAAACATTGTGCTTACTTTAATTGAATGACTAGGGGAGAGGTTTTTAGTGTCCCAACAAGTTTGTTTCACTTTATTGAGCTGTTTTCCATCAGATCTGCTTGTTTATCTGGTTAGTGTACACAAAAAATATATATTTATACTGTTTACACACCAGCGGGATGACTGGGTTTTAAACCCACACTGTTCATATCCGGCCTACATTAGAGTGGTTTGTCAGCAGTATTATTGTCCTCCTGCTGGATATTTTAGGTATTTTTGTTTAACATGAAAAAATGAAGAGAGCTCAATTTCTCAGCTGTTCTTGTTTTGACTGTCAGAAAAACGAAAATGTAAATTAAAATTAAATAATTGACGCAGTAGATTGGCGGGTATTGTTTTAGTGTCTGAAGAGCAGCAGGTTTTTATTTGCTGAACATTAAACTGAGAGAATTCGACCTGTTTTAACGAGCCGAAACCTGCTTGAGCTGCAGTTGCTTTTATTTACTAATCAACAGATCTGAGTCAGGGACATTTCCACTTCAGGTTTACCTTTCTTTTTTTAATTGTTATTGTTTAACTTTATTCATTTCATAAAAAAACAAAACTTTATGTACAATAAAAATAAGAAAAACAAATACAATGAAATGAAATAAAAGGAAACAGAGAGAAGAAATAAAAATCTTATATCTGCCCCTTTTTTCCTCGTTTCAAACAAGTAATCTTTAGTTAACAAAACAAGAACAACAAATGGTTATATGGTTACACATTATACTGTTTCATATTTTTTCAACAATCCAACCTTTTTTAAACAATGAAGACTGGTTATTYTCTGGTTGTGCAGCCTCAGATGGATGAGAAGATCCAGCTGGGCCCCCGGGCTCAGGTCACGTGGGTGAAGGGRAGCAGTGGGGGAGCCAAAGCCAGCGACTCAGGTCAGATAAACATCAGAAACATGAAGCGTAATTTTAAACAAAATGAGCAAAACTGCATGAAATGACTCAAAGAGTTGGTTTTCATTTTGTGTTAGAGAGCCACGTGTTGAAGCCAGAACTTTATTTATTTTTCTGTTTATGTAAGAATCTTCTCTTCTCCTTAWCAGAACTGTCTCGGACAGCTGGCCTAAACCGGTTCTCTGCACTACAGTCCACACCTTTACCTCAGCCCTCCACCACCCCCCCACAGAACCCAGACTATGACTCCAGGAGAACTCTGGGAAGGTACGTCACTAAACCCGGTCCTCCTTAGACCGTCCTCGATGTCGCGACTTCTCTGTTCACACTTCTTGGTTTCTGAGAGACTGGCACCTGCCTCGTCCTCCCGGCTGACGGGTCTGTTTCTGTCCGCTCTCAGTCGCAGCAACACGGTCAGAGAGCGGACCGAGAAGCCTCTGATCTCGACGCCGCCGTCGTCACGGCCCGGCCCGTTCGTGAGGAGAGGCAGTTCGAAAGAGGTGCTGGAGAACCAAAGTCCAGAGGAGCCGCGGAGAGACCGGGAGCAAGAAGGAGCAGAACCTCGGAGATCGAGCGTGACGGAAGACAAAGCTGAGCTGGAGCGCAGCAGAGTCAAAGAACCTGGTGAGGAAACTGTGCAGCGCAACCCCGAAACAAGTGTCCAAATTTGATTAGATGAACAAAAATATGTTTTATTTAATCAACAATATCTAATTAAATGAGTCTGGATCTTGTTTTTACAGTAAAACCTGAGCCAGTCGTTCAAAACCCAGACAGACCCGCCCTGACTGAGGAGGAGATTGAGAGGAAGTGCAAGTCCATCATTGATGAGTTTTTGCACATAAAAGATTATAAGGTAGAGCTGAGTTCAGTCYTTTTGTTGGTTGCTTCTGTTTTCAGATGATTGGATGAACATCATCACCAACATTCATCTTCAGTTTCTAAATAACACATTTTAAAGCAACGCAGTGACTTCCCATCCTATTTAAAATTTATCCTTTAGTTATGACGTTGTTTGAGAAGGAGTTGAAGTTTTTATGTTTTTTTTTGAAGATTATTCTTGTTTTAATTTTTTTATTGAAAAAAGGGGCAGATATTAATAAGAATTTATTTTCTTCTTTCTGCTACCTTTCATTTTATTTGTGTGTTGTATTATTTGTTGTGTGTATAGCATTTGTTTTGTTTTTAAATGAAACGAATAAATTTTTTAAATAAAAAAATAAAAGTAAAAGTATTTGTCAGACAGTCTGTGCTGTCTTATTTGTTTTTTAAAAAGACTTTTAGTTATGACAAACTTCTGACTGATTTCCTGATCAGCCCGTTTTGTTGTTTTTTTTTCTCCTGCAGGAAGCTGTTCAGTGTGTGGAAGAGCTGGACTTGGCTTCTCAGCTGCACATCTTTGTGCGCGTCGGGGTGGAGTCGACCCTGGAGCGCAATCAGACCACACGGGACCACATGGGCCAGCTCCTCTTCCAGCTGCTGCAGCAGGGAATCCTGCCTAAAGCCCACTTCTACAAAGGGTGAGTTCTGCTTCTGGAACAACGCGTCTGTATTCAAATCACATCCTAAAAGTTCAGAGCTTCAATAATAATRACTTCARCTGTTCGGTTTTTAATCAGCGTCGTGTTTTCTCAGGTTTGCGGACACGTTGGAGTTGGCGGACGACATGGCCATCGACATTCCCCACATCTGGCTGTACCTGGCCGAGCTGCTGAGCCCTGTGCTGAAGGAGGGGGGCTTCTCTATGAGAGAGCTCTTTAGGTACAGAGAGCGGTGCTGCTGAGCCCARATACTGAAAACACAGCAACATCAAGGGTCCTGAGTCAGAAAATATACTGCTCTGTGACTGTGTTGTAAAACTCTGAAGTCTAAGGCTACGTTAGGCAAAAGTCACCCAAATAATAATATTCACTTGCTGCGTGTGACGTCACATTGTCTTCTACGCATGCAGGTATATTTATTTATTTTTATTTGTTTGGATCCCCATTAGCCATTGCCTTAACAATGGCTACTCTTCCTGGGGTCCTTAAAAAAAGCATTCATAAATTGTGCACTTATAACACCCTACATGACAAAATAATTAAACAATGATTCTTTTAAAAGCTAAAATGCATATGCAAATGGGTATAATCGGAATAAATGCTAAAAATGCTGTAGCGTCAGACTGCACAGCCTTGCTTCTGTTGTGTAGCATCATGGTTGTGTGCAGCTGGTTCATTTGTTTCATCTGTTCACAGTGAATTAAGCAAACCTTTGCTTCCTGTGGGAAGAGCCGGGATCTTAATCTCTGAAATATTGCACTCTCTATGCAAACAAATGGTAAGCATTACTTTTTGTTCACAATACCTTTACTTATTATAAAGCCATTAGTAATATTTAAGGTATTTTATTTCCATTGATACACTACATACAGTAAATTAAACCTTTTAGTTTAGATTTCAGATATAAAATAAAATAAAATAAAATAAAATAAAGAGCATTTTTGATCCAAAGTATGCATCAATAAACTGAACCTGTTTCTCCTGAAATATGGTGTGCACAAGTTTAATAGTAAGTATTTATTCTGCCATAAAAATATTGTAATTTTAGTTGGATATTTTTAACTCTGTTCTCCAGTTTGTGCAGGCAGAAGTGCCCTTCACTGCACAGTGTTTGATTCAGGATGTCTACCCTGTCCTCATTATAGAGAATGAATGTTTTCATGATTTAAGCTGATTTTAATCAGGAGCACTTCAGTCAGCTGTTTGTGCAAAGTCGTACCTCTTTTTAACTTTAAAAGTTCTCACATTTTGGTGAAAAATCCAAGTACGTGTCAACACCTTCAAGCAGGAACTGATGCCTCCCATCCTCACATTCATTCTGATGATTAAGTAAATTCACTGAGTTCTTATGAAGAGAGGCGTGACGTCGTCCCTTTTTGTTTCCACAGAGCGAAAGGGCTGTGAGTTCTTTATGGAAGGAAACCGGCCTCAACTGGGCCGACGTTCTGCCAGAGGGAGAGGACGTTCAGGCGTTCACCTCCCAGCAGGTTGGTAATGGAGGCGGTCTCGGTTCTGATCCATCAGCTGCGAGGATGCTTCATTGTACCTCTTTGGACTTGTTTGCACACACAGAAACTCCAGTTCCTTGAGGTTCAAACCAAAAGGATCTTGTCTCCTGAGGAGCTGAGCCGGCAGCTAGAGAAACTCCTGGAGGACATGGCCAGCGATGAGCAGATCTTTGACTGGGTAGAGGTACGATGACAAACATCACAGATCTGGTGACTTAAAACAGGGTCCCTGCAGATCCTTAAAAAGTCGTAAAAGGCCTCGAATTCATCAATCCAAAAATAAGGCCTTAATTAGCCTTAAAATGTCTTAAATCAATCTTTCATAAGTCTTAAAAATATTAACACATTGTAAATAGGAGGGGTTTAATTCATCTCAAATATTAAAATAATTGGAAACATGTATTTATTTAAATRTTTACATGCAGACATTCCCCTTTGACATCACTTCCTGTTACTTAGATGCAAAAATCTCAACAACTGTCCATCTGAGCGATGTGAAATTCATTTTGTAATATGTTAATAATGTTGTCTTTTCAAAAATGCATTCACTTTTCTTACAAATTTTGATMTCACGTGCACTTTAAGGTTTCATCTACAGCAAATTGGGGTTAAGACCCCACTGTGGGTCCTAAAACTCCAAGTTTTGGGTCGTTAAACTGACTGCTAAGAATATTTTTGTTATATTTGACGAAAAAGCAGTTGGATATGGATAAAAACAATTGGTCTATTAGCAATATTTGAATACTTTAACCAAAAATACTTTGATTCATGAGTTTCTGCTAAAGTTTTATTTTATTTTTTTGTCATTTGTGTTTATTATGAAATTGGTCTTAAATTTAATTTCAGTTGGCATTAAAAAGTCTTAAATTTAACTGTAGGAATCCTGTAAAAGAAGCGAAGTGATCAAATGAGTCTTTTATTTACTATTAAAGCCCCATTGTTTGAAAACTAAACCCTGCCCGCTGAGCTAATTGTGATCCGTTTTTCTCAGGCAAACCTCGATGAGTCTCAGACGAGCTCTTCTCCCTTCCTGAGGGCTTTGATGACAGCTGTGTGTAAGGCAGCAGTGAAAGGTAAGCACTCACACACCTGGAGGAGACCCTCGTGTTATCCCATCTCACTGTTGGTTTGTAATATTCATGCACTAAGCCTGCCTCCTGCTCCGCTCCACAGATGAGAACACCAGCTGTCGCGTGGACACGGCCATCATCCAGAAAAGGTTGCCTGTTTTACTCAAGTACCTTAACTCAGACACTGAGCGACAGCTGCAAGCACTTTATGCACTTCAAGCGCTGATCGTTTCCCTCGATCAGCCTCCAAGTAAGTGCTACATCAGAACTGCTTTACAAGCGGTTACATGTTTTTAAGACGTTAACCCCCAATTTACACTGGATGCGGTTCCACTCTGGGCCGACCTCCACAGTAAATAGGCAACTGTTATAATCGATGAGAGCATTTACACCGGCTCCGCACCGTGATTCGACAAAATTAAATTCAATCCTATTTTTTGGGATGCCGGAGCTGGTCCAGAGTCAATCTACGTCACACCAACAGGAACAGGAACAAGCRCAATATCTGTATTTTCAAAATAACTCACCAAAGGCAAACTCATTTTGTTGAAATCCTAGCTGTATCAAAATGTATCATTCTGTTTGAGAAGCAGATGCAACATGCAGCATATGCCACTGTAACACGTGGATTTTATTCTGAAATCAGAAGTGTCAAAAAGACAACAGTGATGCAGTTTCAACTGTGTTTGTCTGTTTTTCACAGAATTATTTATTTTGCTCAGACTTCCACATTTATCACTGGATTTATTGCGCAATCTTGCATTTCCTGCCTGTGCCCCTCTGAGCTCCTCTGTTCTTCACACCAAAGTGGACGCTGTATAAACTGGGGTGGAAACGAATGGCAGCAAACTGCACAACTAGAGATGGGTACCTTTGACATTTGAATCGATTCGGTACCAATATMAGGTACCTGGGAATTGGTACCGGTACTTAACGGTACCAATTTTTGGTACTTTGCCTGTGTTGGTTTTTTTTAAAGGGGCAATATTATGTGTTTCTCAGGCATATATTTAAATACTATACCATAATAAAGTATCTCTGTCACCTTTATCTGTTATTAAAATGCTGTTTTTATGTTTAAATAGAAAATAAACTTTTCTTCTCATCACTTCCTCTTCTAAACGCTTTGAAATTAGCGTCTGTCTCTTTAAGAACCGCCTTCCGCTTCTGTCTCGCCCACTTCGGTGCGGGTGGGGAGGCTGCCATGATGCAGTTTACTTGGCATCTGAAAATACATTTCTTCAAAGGTATTTTTAATCTGAAAAGAGCTTCACTGAGTGAGAAGCAGGAGTCATGGGCGGGGTGTGGAGGTGTGTTGTGTGATGAGGAAGTTCGGCTTAAAGACATGTCCCAGGGGCGTTTCTGGTCCCCAAAGGTGTTTCTGGTCCCCACCTGTCGTTTTGCTCCTCAGCATGGCTTCATAAAAACACTGCAGGATTTCTCAAACGTGCATGAATGAGTCAAAGCAAGGCTTTGGGCATGTTTTTTATGAGAGTATAACATTATAACATGATATAAATCTCAAAAAAGTTGATTTTACATGATATTGCCCCTTTAAGAATGAACTTTTTTTTAATTTAACATATTTCTTTCTCGATATATAAAATTTAACCAATATCAAGACAACATCCAACTCTTTGTATTGTAACATCAGTTGTGTAACTTGTTTCTTTAAGGTGAAAACTCTTGAAAACCACAAGACTGTTTTGTCTTATTGCACAAATTAAAATCCAGCTCCACATATTTCTATTGATGTCATTTACCCGTTAGAAAAAATGTGTAATGTGGGGCCATGGAAGGTAAATAAATTTAAATCAAATAAGCAAAAAAGAGGATGGAGTTAAATAAATAAAAGGTATTACAGCTACGTTCAGAACCAAAACACGTCCAACACTTGAAGTTGGCTGCTTGTGCTCCTTTAGGTCAGACGTGTTCGGACTGTCGGGAAACACCTCTGTTGGTTTCCTCTGCCGGTCTCTGTTTAATGATGGATGAAATAAAGAAAGTGGTGGTACTTTATTTACTTTGAGCAAGCGAACGTCGTGTTCACAAGATAATTAATCCACCAGATAATTCAGAGCTGGTCTGTTTGGTGAGTTTTACTCCAGGAGCTGCGAGGCTTTCAAGCTACGTTCAGACTGAGCTCTGTTTACTGAACCAACGCTGACGTCATTACGCTCTTGCGCGATGCTGCGTTCAGGACAAGCATGGAAAACTCACCACTCTTACGCCAATACGGTCGCAATGCTGCGTTCAGGACAAGCATGGAAAACTCACCACTCTTACGCCAATACGGTCGTAATGATGCGTTTAGGTACCGAAACATGGTATCGTTTGACGTTACGTGAATAGGTACTCGGTAGTACCGACAGAATTTGGTCGATACTTATAAAAGTATTGAATTCAGTACCCATCCCTGTACACAACACAGCTGAACAGAGCAGAAACGTGTGTAGTGCTAACTGGGGGTCAACTACTGTATAATATCACCATGTTTACCTTTAATTCCCGTCCCCAGTGTTTTGATATATTTCACGATGTGACAGCGACACTTTTTTGTTCTTTCACAGACCTTCTCCGGATGTTCTTTGACTGTCTGTACGACGAGGACGTCATCTCGGAGGACGCGTTCTACAAGTGGGAGACGAGCAAAGACCCTGCTGAGCAGGAGGGTAAAGGCGTCGCCCTCAAGTCCGTCACGGCCTTCTTCACTTGGCTGCGAGAGGCGGAGGAGGAGTCTGAGGATAATTGACGAGGGAGACGCCCGGGACACGGCGTAGAACTGCATCTCTAACACCAGAACAAACTTTAAATGGCTGCGCAGACGGGACGACGTGTTTACGGCTGGATTATTATTTTTTTCTTTTTCTTTTTTTTTTTTTCTTTTTTCCTCCCCCTCCCCTCTGCGGTACGGTTCTGAAACATGCCGCCATCTTGAGTTTGGATTCCAACAGTGGAAGCACTAAATATCTGTATCATAAATAGAAAATATTTTTGTTTTAAATTTTAACTTACTTTTTTGTTACTTTTTAAGAAGAGACTTAAAAGACACATAGGTTCTGGACTCCTTAATTTATTATTTTTTTAAGGACTGCAAATATGAAAGTTATTTAACATTTGCAGATGCTCACAATGAGAACACGGCAACAGAAATAACAATATAATTATAATAACAAAATAATTGTGAGACAAAYATTTTCCCTGGCTTTCACACTGTGGCTGAAAACAGGGTAAAAGCAAAAACTATTTTAGGACGCAACAAAGGAGTGAAAAAACAAGAACTATTAATGCTGTTAAAGGTCAGAGGTCATCTTATAATAAGCAGAAGGTTTTCCCACTAGCATTGACTTGCTCTGTGCTGATATGAACACACACACCATGAGCTGTTAAAAACGTGCATCCGAGAAGCAATGCAAATCAGAACTGTCGAGTTACGCAGACGAACAAACCGAAAAAAAACAAAACAAAAACAAACCTGAAGTTTAACTTCAAAAAGCAAAAAGGCCAGGGATGCTGAACATGAGATGCTTGTAATACTCAAGACCTACAAAACAGATTAAAGCTTGTAAATACATTAAAAACAAACAAACAAAMAAAAAAACTAAAAATGTGCTGATTCTTGTGACTCCTTATTTTAAGTGTTGGAGGTGGTGTGTCTGGTGTTTGGGTGTTCCCGCTCTGGATGAAGAAAAGCTGCTGCGACTGGACGGTTCTGGATCGATCTGCTTGAACCTCGAGCTTCAGTTATCTCAGTGAATTTAGCCCCGACCGTTGGCTCGTCGCTGCACTTTTTCCACTTCTTTAGTCCTCCAGGTCGTCATTTGAAGCACGAAGTTGCAGCATGCTGTTTTTTTCTCTGTTTGAATTTAGTATTAATAACGTCACAATCCTTTACATTAGCACTCAGCTTTATTCCTGGGTACATTTAGAACGTCTCCATTCTATCCTGAGTTTCTTATTTGTTCTCTAAAACTACAGCTACAATGTGACATTACCAGTTAGACTTTCTGTAAAAACATGGTTCAAAATTAGATTTTCAAGTGTTTTGACCAGTTTGGATTGATTTAGATTTAAGAGTTTTCATAATTTAGCAGGATTWGATGATAAATGTTTACTTCAATCCACATCTTAATTGGTCCACATTGCAAGTAATCCTATAATGTTTAAAAATATTTTGGGATAACTAAATGGATAATTTAGTGGATCTATTCAAGAAAACAGGACAAGTCTACTGTAAAACTTTTACAGTAGAAGTATAGATAGGGTATACATTTTATGTGTTTACTAATATTTAATTTTTTCGTGGAAGATTTATTTCCTGGTATGGCCTTGTTTGTTTTTGAAAGCAGCAGTCTCGTTTCGTACCTCGTGCCTTTGTTTTCCCGCCCCTTTCCGGGTTTTTGAATTTGTTTTTGTGTGCACGTTTCCTACGTGCGGCGGGACGTCTGACGTCACCAACGATCCAAGCGGGGCGGGGCTCGTGAACAGCGAAATCGAAATAAAGGATCGTGCAGAAATTTCTTTTAAAATATCACTTTCCTTCGCGATAATTTCAAGGTAAGTTTGTTATGCGTGGAGATCGATTGTTTGATTAACGATCGTTTGCACGGTTTGCATCCCTTTCAAGAGCCGTGGGTGATTTTATTTTTTGTTTTTTAAGCGTACAGTTGAAAATGAATTTCGGGCTGTGCGACGCCATTACCGCGTTCCTAAATCAGCGGACAAAATGGCGAATTAGCGGAAAAAAAATTTCATGCAGCTCATTGTTTCGTGTTATTGTAATGTATTTGAAAGCTGGGGGGTTACGCAGGTATGCGGCACGTCGACTTAAAGGCGGTGGGCATGTTGTGAAAAATGAACCGCGTCTGCATTCTTTATCCCGGACTTCATTTATGATTGAATGAAGTGGGTTTGGCAGGGAGCGTGTTCGCGCTCACCGCGCAGTGCAAACACAAAAGGCTCACAAACCAGTGCCGTGCTAATGAAACCTCCCTCTTGTTCAGGTCAAGTTCGCGTCATGCCGATCCGCCGAGCAGCAGCGACTCCTCCGGCCCAGGAGAAGGCTCCCTCCGCGGCTGAAGAGAGAGGTGAGGTCGGGGGGTCGTCCATGATCCTCCGGACACTTGAACGCATCACTGACACATTCACTGAGCTCAGGATCTGTTGGGACCTTTTTGTTTTGTGTTTTTACCTCAACAAACTTCATACCCAAATTAGTTGTTAATTTTCAGAAAAAAATATTTAAATCTATGCTTTCACTTTTATATGTATGCACATTTATTTTAGGCAGTGCAGCTTTTTTCCTAGTAATTAAAAATTAATCCAATCAATCATGTTTGAACAACAAATTCAGCATTTTTATGTATTTACTTAAACAGTCGTTATTTATAGTTGGGCGTGAGGTTAGGTTCAGACAATCAGTGTTGTATAAAGTACCACAAAGTGATACTTGAGTAAAAGTACAAGTATCTTACCAAAAATTACTATGGTAAAAGTTAAAGTCTTAAAGTATCTGATTTTTTTTGTACGTAAGTATTAAAAGTAAAAGTATTAATTTAAAATGAGCAGTTAGTTTTTCTGTAAGGACATTTATTAGGAGGTGACCTTCCCCCCAAAAATGCTGAAATGACTATATCGTATTAAAATAATTTATATTAAATTCAGGATGCACTAGCTGTTTCAGTTTATAAACATAAATCAAGGCTGCACAAACCTTTTCCCTGAAATGAAAATCTATCTGAGGGCTGTGGCCAAATGTAATAATATAATTCGTGAAATACAAATACATAAGTACAGACCTTTTATTTTAGTGATTATGTCCTGTTGGAGTGTGACATGATTTGTTTGTGTACAAACTAATACGGTATCAGAATTTTATATTTATACTTCTCATTCAACCACAATTAAATTCTATCTCGGAGGCACAGATTATATGGAGAGTATTTATTTTTTACAAGCTGGGATGAAAACAAGCAAAAATGAAATAAAAGTAAAAACTTTCTACTTCTTGACTTTTTTAAAAAATATATAAGGAGTACAAAGTACAGATAAYTGTGTGAAAATGTAAGAAGTAGAAGTAAAAAGTAGGCTGAAAATAATTACTCAAGTAACGTACAGATACCCAAAAATTCTACTTAAGTACAGTAAAGTTTTTGCACCTACTGTAGTTATTTTACAACTCTGCTGACGAACATGACTTKGGGCAGAAATTTTACAATTTAACATTTGAAGATGGTGACACCAGCAAGTCGTAGTAGTCCTTTGTATTTTATTACAAATTCAAAGTAGTGTTGACTTCAAAAAGAGTGTAGCRTAGAGCAGGGGTTCACACGCCATTTGGGTCTGGGGACCCCCCCAGGATTATTTTTCTTCCCCTGATGTCTCATAGCTGATGCCGTGTCGCTCATTGCTAACATGCATGGTTTCTGCTTCGCTGTTGTCTTCCAGAGCCAGAAGCCTCCGACGAGGAGTCGCCCTCCCCCGACGAGGAGCAGGCGGCGTCTTCGGCTGCGGGAGCCGAGGACGGGGAAGGCGAGAATTCGGGCGACACTCATCCCGACAAGAACGAAGACGACGCCGAAGAGGAGGGAGCGGAGGACGAGAAGAAGGATGAGAAAGAGTGAGTGTGACAATGGTCACCCGTACGGTACGAGTGAAAACGCTGCGATATTTCACTTTGATGGCCCTTTTATCAGTTCCTATTCTCCTTACCTCTGCCGGATAACTGCAGATGGCTCCTCTTGTGGTTACAGCGTTGCGTTTCCAATAGATGGGATGTCCTGTCACAGCCACAGTGGTTCCCTGTAAATCAGGACAGTTAACAGGCCGATGGGCCTGTAGTCACAGGGCAAACTGCTCATTTAACAGTTTAATCCTAAAATAAGCCTTTTGTTTATTTCTTTTAGTGCAGTTTTTGTTTTTCCTCTTGTGGCAGAAAATAAAAATGCACATTACTGGGAACTATAACGTACTTCCTACACTCACCAGTGACACACTGTCCGGGTGATTTACTCAATAACTGGGCTTTTTTTATTATTATTTCTTAGTTTTAATCATTTATCACAAATGTTAATGAAAAAATTCAGACAAGCTTTTTTGTTTTTGTTTGTTTTTAGCTATTCCTTTAAAACCAACTTTTTTATTTAAATTGAGTTTCTGCTATTTTAAATTAGAATAACAAAGTAGCCAGAGCTGTAAATGAAAAAAATGTGCTCCTGAACAGGAAATACTTGTTTTCGCAAATTTATTTAGTGATAAGATGTTGCTCTTTAATTTATCTGCAAGTGATAAAACTTGTTCAGCTGGTTAAAGGCTGTTCTTTCATTTTTATTTTTTATTTGAATGTTTGGGAAAACAAAAGACAGAAACCCGTGTGACCCCGGGTAGTATCAGGGAGGTAAAAGCCTCCTTTTTCGCTGAAGGTKATTTAGTGTAAATCCTCCTCCTCTTCCCTTTTGGCCTCAATCTATCCTTTTAGCCGTAGCCATTTGAACCCAGAGTCGAATTACAATGATGGTAAATAAGACCGATGTTCTAAAACTTCATTTTGTTTTCTCCATCGGTGACAAACGGACAAAAGTGTGAAATGCCCGGACTGCGAGGCTGGACAGTGCACAACACACTGCTTTGTTCTCCTACTAAGGTGAGGATGTGATAACGATAGAGGTGATCACAGTGAAATATCGCTTGTAAAACACCCGACTCACTTCACTCAACCTGTGTTGCTCCTTCTGGCGGCAGGTTGAAGGATGGCTACAAATATGAGAAATCCAAAACCAAGAAGGTGAAACGGACAATTCCTGCATGGGCTAGCGTCACCGCAAGCAAAAACATTCCCGTTACCAACTATGCAGGCACACAGTGCAGAGTGGATAGCGTCCTTATCGAAGCTATAATGGTGTGTACAAACTCTGAGCTCATCTTTTTTTTCTCTCTCTCCTAACATTAACTTCCTTTCTAAAGATGTCTCTTTTATTTTATTTTATTTATTTTAAGTCCTCTAAGGACAAGGCGGGAATTTCCTTCCAGTCGCTCATGAAATATATTCTGAAAAAATACCCGAACATGGAGCTCGACAAGAAGAAGAAGTTTCTCATCAAGAAAGCCATGAAGAAACACGTGGAGAAAGGCACGGTCAAACAGGTAACCGTTATAAGAGCCGTGCTTGTTTTGTTTCATGAAACTTTGTTGTTKTTTTTTCAGTAAACYCGAGCAGAGACAGACTTTGGAGGTTTTCAATACATTCTGTTAGAAAATGTTAAATTCACGACCTAAAAATATCATCCGGTGTTTGTTTGCACATTTTTAAGTTAGTAAGTAAGTCTTTTTCTCTGGGAATTTGATCTGCAGATATACGCACTTTATATTAAATGAAACGTAGAGTCGTAAATCTGGCTCGGTCTGACCTTAAGGAAGCCCAGTAACTCAAGTCTGCATTTTCCTGTTTTCCTTGTGTCTTTTAGCTGAAGGGTAAAGGCCTTTCAGGAAGGTTTGCCATCGGAAAGAAGCCGCCGCCGTCAAAGGTACGTCCCTGAAGACGACCTTGTGCTGAAGTATACGTCCCAGATAGTCTCAATACTCGTATCAGAGACTTACTGATACCAGTTTCCTTCCCGTGTGAAAGCTTAATACAGCTGTGAAGTGTTTTGGTTRTAATTTTCTATTTGCTTACGGATGTTTTAGAAAGGTCGCCAGAAGCAGGAGTCTTTAGGAGATGCCCTTCCTCTCATCTTCACTCGACTCTGTGAGCCCAAAGAGGCTTCCTACACCCTGATCAAGAAATACTTAAAGCAGCATTTCCCAAACTTCAACATTGAAAACAGGTATCACAAGGTTTTTTTTTTCCCAAAAGTTAAATGTTTGAAAGTCTTTTGTAAAAGGTTTTTATGCCTCTCCCTCTGTTCTTGCGCAACTATTAAATTGGAAAAACTCTGTGGTTTGATCTCAGGCCGGATGTCCTGAAGACGGCTCTGGGGAAGGCCGTAGAAAAAGGACATTTGGAGCAAGTTACCGGGAAAGGAGCACAAGGAACTTTCCAGGTAAAGCTCGGAATAACGTCGTTTGGTCGAGCTGACGGCGTCTGAAGTGAAACGCTCTGGTTAGCGCACGAGAACGCACCGTCCTTTAAAACGGTTCTGTTCAACCTCCTCAGCTGAAGCACTCTGGGAAAGATGCCCAGCTGAAGGGCAGCACCTTGGAAGACGCCATCACCGTCGCCATCGTAGCCATGAACGAGCCCAAAACTTGCAGCGCAACGTCTCTTCGCAAGTATCTCATCGACTCCAACAAGGACGTAAAGGAGCACCTGGTTGGTAAGTTGTTGTTTCTTTCTGTTGAGACATGTTTCTGATGACCACTGAGTTATTACTTCTAGGGGTTAAAACACGTTCTGATTAAAAAAGAAAAACTAAACTCAATAAAATGCAATTTAAGGTAAAGCTGAAGGATTTAATCATCACTAATATTAAAATAAACTAGAGAAATTGCATTTCCCACGAAAATGCTAATGTGAATGCTTCATGCTGAAAACTTGAGCTGAAAGCTGCTGAAACTGAGCGGAAAATATTTAAWAGAAAAAGTGTTAATATGAGCTCACTTTGAAAAGCTAAAAGAAGCGAAAAAGCCTAACTTTGCTGATAAATAGTAAAAAGGGGCTCAAATGTAGTTCAAAACAGAAAATAGCTGAATATAGCTGAAAACATCTGTAAGAAACAAATAGCAGAATGACAGAAAAAAGGAAATCCATATATAAAGTAGCATAATATAGCTAAAATTAGCATAAAATAAGCTAAAGGTAGTAGCCACAATTTGAAATTAGCACCCAATTGAAATAGTTTAAAAAATAGCTAAAACTGGGGAAAAATGCAGGAAAAAATTTATAAAATTACATAAAAGTGATTATTTGTAGTAAAATAACTAAAACAGCTGAAATTTACAATAAAACAGCTAAAAAGTAGCTGTAAATTTTTGAAGTAGCACAAGGAGCACAAGCTTGCTAACCTTAGCTGAAAAAAGTTGTAATAGCTAGTTGAAATAACAGAATAAAGCTAAAATTTGCAAGAAAAAAAGTAGCTAAAATTGGTCCAAAAACATGAAAAATAGCAGAACTAGAACAAAATGTGTAAGATGCTGTAAAGATTTAGAAACATTTTAAAGGATTTTAAGGATGTTGAAAATAGTCCCATTCATTTTCAATGGCGAAAGTGGCTAAATAAAGTGAAATAGCTGAAGAAGTATAATAAGCTGAAATACCAAAAGTCATAGTACCCCTCACACGAATGAGCTGAATGTTTTAATATATGAATTGTTGAAATAGCACAAAAATTGTGGAACGAGTTAGATGCCAAAAAACGTACGGAAGAAAAAATGATCTCAGTAGTGTGAATGCTGTGAAGCTTTGACAATAATGTGACATGTGACCAAACCACATGCAGGGTATACAGTCTGGAAAGCTCTTTAAGCAGGGTTGTAATGGCAGCAGTCCACCATGGGCTGCTCCTCTTCTACAAGTTGAATCAGACGCTGACGAGACAGACAGCAGCTGGCTCAGTTTGTGTAACGAAGACCTCAGCTTCTCTAACCTTTTTATACATTTTTTGTCAAGCTCCAGCACGCATACAAGTTGCACAACCTCCTGCCTTTGAGTTCTGCATTTCCAGTTTGCTGATCGGCCCTCCTTTTCTACTCTTTAGACCAGGGGTTCTCAAACCTTTTGGGTCTGGGGACCCCTTACAAGGCCGAAAACATTCCAGGGACCCCCTTATAAACCCCATGCTGTTTTAAAACATAGTTCAACCTCTAAATGCCATGGGAATATATTTTTATAGTTTGTTTTTATTAGTTCATTGTTCTCCATACATTTTTAAAAATAAAAAACAAATTAACAATTTAGTGAAAGTTTTTGAGGACCACCAAGATACCTCTTGCGGACCCCCAGTTTGAGAACGTCTGCTTTAGACCAGGGTTCTGCAACCTCTATAATCAAAAGAGCCATTTTCCCATCAGCTCACTAATAAAATATGTCCAGAGCTGCAAAACATACTTCAACTGTGATCATCAGCTGGTTGAATGTTTGGTTTCCAGCCAGTGGGGGTGATATTATAGTGAATTTGAATATTGTTAAAAATGACCATATTCATATAAAAAAATAAAATTATAATATAAATACAGATTTTATAAAAAAAAAAATTTTTTTTATAAAAAAATAAAATTATAAATAAATACCAAATTTAACAAAAACGTTTTTAGATGTGTGTTCAATTGTTATTTTAACAATTTCACCATATTTCTTCTCAGCAACTTGTCTTACAGATATTCCAAATAAAATTATAAATAAATACCAAATTTAACAAAAACGTTTTTAGATATGTGTTCAATTGTTATTTTAACAATTTCACCATATTTCTTCTCAGCAACTTGTCTTACAGATATTCCAAAACATTCCTGATAGATTTGAGGGAAAAGATACCGTGAGGCTGGAAGTTGGATCACTGAAGTGGTCAAGAGGCTACTAGCATGACCAAATGAACATGTTTCTGTTAGTAGTTTCGAATATTTGCGAATAAATGTCCAGGAAGAGCTGTCAAAGCTATCCTTTTCTGTTATGGATATAAAAACAAGAAAAACATCAATCTCATGTTGGTTTTGGTCAAAGCTCAAAGAGTCACATGTGGCCCCGGAGCTGCAGGTTGCAGACCCCTGCTTGAGACAACATTTAAAACAATTTTAACCAATGAAAATACAAGACATAACATCATTTTTAAAGGGGCAATATCGTGTAAAATCAACTTTTTTTTTTTACTTTTATTTCATTTTATAATGTTATACTCTCATAAAAAACATGCCCAAAGCCTTGCTTTGACTCATTCATGCATGTTTGAGAAATCCTGCAACGTTTTTAGGAAGCCATGCTGAGGAGCAAAACAACCGGTGGGGACCAGAAACGCTTTTTGGGACCAGAAACACCCCTGGGACGTGTCTTTAAGTCAAACTTCCTCATGGCAGATCGCCCCCTCTCCCCTCCCCACACACCCCGCCCATGACTCCTGCAGGCCCTCGGGTGAAACTTAAACTGGCCACTGAGCTCCTTCTTTTTCACTCAGTGAAGCTCTTTTCAGATTAAAAAGACCTAGTTTGAGGAAATATATTTTCAGAAGCCAAGTAAACTGCATCWTAGCATCCCCCCGCACTGAGATGGGCGGGACAGAAGCAGAAGGTGGTTCTTAAAGAGACAGAGGCCAATTTCAAGGTGTTTAGAAGAGAAAGTGATGAGAAGATAAGTTTATTTTCTATTTAAACATAAAAACAGCATTTTAATGACAGCTAAAGGTGACATAGATACTTTATTATGGTATAGTATTTAAATATATGCCTGAGAAAAACATAATTTTGCCCCTTTAAAGTGCCAAAATTCCTACCTCACGTTATTTATAGTGTGTTTTTATAATGTGCCTTTTATTTTTGACAAGAAGTTGTAAACATACTTTTTTTTATTTTTTATTTTTTTTAGTGGCCAACCTGAAGAGAACACTGACCAAGTGTAAAGTCCTCGGCTGGATGAAGC